ACTGTAAGAATTTTTTGGAGATAATAATGATTTACTGATCCAAATCTTACTAATTAACCTATAGATGGGGGGAGAAGAGGTGGATTCATACCTTTCCCAAGTGTATTTGCGCGTAAGTAAATATAACGAACTCGACTGGAATTGGAACTCAGCTCGCCGATTTCTAATTTCGAGCCGTCATCCATTACACCACCCGCACATCCAAGTCCTCAGCACCCACCTAGGTACTGACCAGGCTCGATGTTGCCTAACATATGTGCGTATATATTTATGTCTGTGTGTAAATATACATCATGTATATATGTGAGTTGATTACTACTGAAATGAAGTCAATCCTCTTTGGGGATATTTCAGTTATACGAATAATAAACCGTTATGATTGTTTTGTGCACAACCCCTCCCTAATTTTTTCTTCTCTTATCTCATATCTTTGGCATCCTGACGACATGATGACGGGCAATGAGTACCGGTCATCAGGAAATTTAGGGAACATGCCTTTCTTATTTATGTTGACTCGAAATAGCATACACGCAAGGTCAAGGTAGTTATCTTGGTCAGCAATTGATCAGCAGAGTTAATGAGCTCGGTCCTCACTGGGTACCTCGCGATTGTAACCTTAGGACGGGTAAAGGTATCCTTCGGTAAGATCAAATCGCAGAAAAGAACGTGTTTACCAAGACCAGCATGCAAATCAGTTTTCTAAAATGCTCCTGAAGAATATCATTAGAAACGGGGAGACGCGGAACTATTGCCAGTAGCATTACTTGAAGACATCCAACTGCAACAGCAACTAAAATGGGTTGCACGTGTAACCAGAAAGGAAAATAATGATATTGTTATGGGGTCCACCCCTTTCTCATACAAATGGACTCGACCAGTGTGTAATTGTACTGCTGCCGGTGAATACCCGGGTGTTAGACGAGAGATACACTGATACAGTGAGAGTGTGATGTAACCGCTTTGTAGGAGTCACAGTTGCGAGCACGTAGACTCAGAAGGGAGTCATACTTCGATACTGAATTTCCCAGACTGTATATATATTATTATTGCTACTAACCGCATTTCTGGATCTACTAACCGTATTACCAATTGTATTATTACGTCAATACATTTATTTGCTATATTTCATTCCTGCATTTGTCATTCATTTTGAGACCGGATTTCATCCCGAAATCCACAACAGATATAATCAAGATATTGACTTTCCACACCATTAAAAAACAAAAAGTGTGGAAGATATCAAATTACACCGCCGTTAACAGCAGATTAAAACTTAGACGGTGGAGTAATGGAAAGCGGCTCGGACTGAGGAATCGGAGAGCCGAATTCGAATTCAAGTCGAATCCATTACATTCACATAATACACTTGAGAAAGGTATGAATCCTCTTCTTCTCTGGGTAAATAGCAGGACAGACCGGGTTCTATAGCCTTAGATGGCAACTGGTCTACCGCAGAAAGAAATGGCAACCTACTGCGCGAAAAATCTACCTTGTCAGTTATGTATCGAAAGTATGGCACATAACTGACTGAACCACCGAAAATCAACTAATAAAAATGATTTAATAAACTTCTATTCTCACCATAACAACAAAATAAAATCCAGAATAATTATCGAATTCTACTAAGAATTTGCAGCCCTTTACATATTTACATAAAGTGGAGAAATACACTGCAAATACTTTCAGGACCCTCCAATACCCGAACTATTTCATATTCAATACGAAACAAAAGGCTCATAAATTATTCCAAAATAGAAATGCAGTCCCTCCAGATAAACTCAATGAATCAAAATATGTTGTTCTATCCACTAAGTCTATCACATCTACAATCGAAAAGAATTTATCAAAACTCAATATAAAATTTGACACAATAATAACACTTAAAAATAAGAAAAAAGAAATTAAAACTTAAGCAATATCCCCCTGCAAAAAAAGAAAGAAACTAAAAATTCAAGACGTTTAAAGGATTTAGGAAAACAAATCCAATGAGACATTTTAAAAAGGTTACCTTAGAAATAATTTTCAACATACTGAGAAAAAAATGCTACTCTTGTTAAAAAGAGAAAACAATACACTAAGATGAAAATATTTAGAAAGTGCTAGTTCATCCACAGTAAATTTACATCCAGGTTCTTACAACGTTTCACCATTTTTGGCAGATCTGTTATAACAACATTTACCGGACTGAATGTCCGAGAAATTTTCATAGAAAATATGCGTCCTCTGACAGGAATCGAACCTGTATTCTGCACGGAACCGTCATATAGCCTAACGTGCTTTTACCGATTGAGCCACAGAACAGATATTAATGTACGTGAGAAAATCATGGAGAATTGTGGTTTAAAAACAGTAAATTCGACCTTGCTAATCGAAACGCTCCTCTGTGGCTCAATCGGTAAAAGCACGTCAGGCTATATGACGGTTCCGTATAGGATACAGGTTCGATTTCTGTTGAGAACGCATATTTTCTATGAAAATTTCTCGGACATTCAGGCCGGTAAACGTTGTTAATACTGTTTATTATTAACAGAGCATTTACTTAAATATTTGTATCTATAAAAAGAACGTATAAACATAAAAAATGTCTTAAAATATATATATATGTGTGTGTTACGTCAATGAATGTCGAATGTTTCCTGTATGGAAACGGTTCATTTTGATATTACCATTACCATCACCTGTACAGATATATTTTGTGACGAATTTGTTTTGTTCCCGTGTGAATATTTTCACGTCAGTTGGTATTCATTCGAGCATATGACAATATCTGAGCGTAAGCATATGGATTTAATTATATCTATGTGAATATCTCTGCGGTGGTGCTAATCATATAATCTATTGTAATTCAACAGTTATTCCAACACTTATTATGGCGCTTCATAAATGTGGCCTTGTGTCAGAATTGGTCTAATCCAGCCACTATCGTTCTAAAAAGAATGCCTGTCCCAACTTGATAAATCAGTGTTTGAACGTAAGAGGATTTATTCATTCTTTGCTAGATCAGACCACCACTGACACAAGGTCACATTTTTCGAGCACTCTGCAGGAAATGAGATAGAATATATGATAAAACTAGATTAACGACAGAAATGGATGAATAAATCCTTTCACACACTGACGTATTAAATGGAAACACACAATGACAGACATGCTTTTAGAGTAATAATTCTTCGTGTGGGCAGTGACGCCTGATTGGAAGGGTGCCGTTAACTTTCAAGGGAATGTAAGTGCTCAGGGGAACTATGCAAAGATATTATATTTTAAACAGGATAAGAGGATTTGCGAGAGGTGTAATGGATATTGGCTCGGAATAAGATATCCTTGAGCCGAGTTCGAATTCCGGTCGGGTTCGTTACATTCACAGTCATGCGCAAATACCCTTGAAAAATGTCCATCTCTTCCACCAGCTATGCGTTGAATAGCGGGACAGACTGGGACCTATAGCCTTGATTGGCAACCAGTCTACTGCAGAAAGAAACGGCAACATACTTCACGGAAATTTTCTGCCTTGTCAGTCATATATCGAAAGAGACATGATCGCCCAAACGTGTGTGTCATTTAACTGATTGAACATAATAGAGATAGAGGAATGCAGCGATTAACGAGCTTGATGCCAAAAAAAAAAGGAAATAGGAGAGATAGTAAAAGACAAACATGTCTAAGTGCGACAAATACAGGACGTCGTGGAGAACGATGATCATCCACGTATTGAAGGGAGACAGCAAAAATAACTCAAGCAGTTAGAACATTTTAGATGCTTATTTGTAAATAATTAATAGATTTATTTTTAATCCGACATTTTTATTATTTTAAACATTATTTTTAGTGGATCCCTGTGTTTTTTTAAGCAGTTTTAAAAAAAAATTTAAGCAGTTTAAAATTTTTTTTAAAAAGAGACGTCTATTTCGAACATGAGCATCCACTAAAAATAAGTCTGAAGCAATAAAAAAAATGTCAGATTAAAAATAAATCCATGAATTCTTCAGAAATTGCTTTGTTTAGTTTTCGGATACGAAACTGAGAAACTGTAACGCTTTCTGTGACCGAGCACACCGAATCAAAATCTGTTTTCTCCTACAAAGAAATATACATTTTCTTTAAGTTTTCTCGAGTGCGTAAGTCGATATACGTAATAGACACAGTTTAAAAAATGAAAAAAAAATGGGTCGCCTATTTCAAACACAAGTAACCACTAAAAAAAAAAACAAAAAAAAACGTTTAAAGTAATATTCATTTATGTATGTATTTACATTGTTCGACTTATTTTGTACATTTGACTGCAATTTTTGAGCAAAAATCTGCAAACCAAAATCTGTCAATTTCTATGATCTGTTCTCGTTACAACCGTTTCGCTTTTCCCGCCACAGCTTACCTCTGGTTATTCGGGATGCAACAAAACGTAATCATATGATATTAACTCTGTTGTATTATCTCTGCTCCCTTTACCAGTGCAATGTTAATATATATGGCACAACCGGCGCAAATATTTAAAAAGAAAAATGAGAAGAACGAAGCGGAAGAAAAGGTTAAGAACCACTATTTTAGGGTAATATTTGTTGGATTAGACCAAGTCTGGGACAAGGCCATATTTATCGAGAACATTACTGGAAATGAGTTATTGATTTTTGTCGTTAGACTTATTTTGCCATATACTGCAGCTCAGAATATTTTACTTGGTGCTTGAAAAATTTAACATAAAAGCAGAGTTGATTTGAACCAACCAATGTCACTATAAGATTTTTTTAATTGTTTGACTGTTTTGTTTTCTACGGATTATCAACCTTTTGCAGGTTATTTAAAGCCAGAAAATATTTTTAAATTTTAAGAATTTTTTGTTTTTTTATAATAATAGTGAATTACTGATACAAGTCCTACTAATTATTCCATGTCTGGAGGGAGAAAAAATAGTTTTATTTCTTTCCCTAACGAACCCGACTGGAACTAGAACTCGGCTTTCCAATTTCGAACCGTTATCCATTACACTACCCATCCATCCAAACTTACAGCATCTGCTATTCCCAAGGGGTCAGCCATCTAGGTACTGACCAGGCTCTGCGTTGCTTAACTTCGGTGATCGTACGAGAATCGGTGTTTCAATGTCATTTGATCTTAAACGATACACGCTTTCTGTTGGCTTGATATTAGCTACCATCTTCTCGTTATCCAGTTGGTTCTCAATGGACTTGGTCAAATTTGACTGAATTCGGAAAAAATGTATTGATATTCGCCATCTACAATGATACTCTCCTAAAATTGTGACTTTTTGTTCACTACGAACAACTAATTGTTTTTTTTATGCTTGTGAATGTTTTTACGTCTGCGTCACAGCTATACTAAAAGTTCGATATAGTTACAAACAGACAGATTCGCAGGAATGGAAATGCCTAATTGTAGGTTTGCATTGCATTTTCATGGTCCATCGGCGTGGCGCTTAGTGTGCCTGTGGTGCAAATTAAATATTCATAGCGTATTCGAAACGAAGGAAGGCTTCAATGTGCCTGATGTGGGCGTCCCCTGGGGTTTGATAGTCTATTAACACTACATGAGAGAGTCAGGATAATAATACAACCAGAGCGGCATCGTTACATTGGGAATAGCCAGGTATCGACATAGTGAAGTGAAATAAAGGGAAGAAGAAGGTAAGATTTGAGGTGCGTTGAGAAAGAAAGAAAGAAAGAAAGAAAGAAAGAAAGAAAGAAAGAAAAGAAAAAAAATGATGATAGGAATGTCAATGGTGAAAGAAAGGGAGTGATAAAATAAATACTGAAATAGAAACAAAGAAAAATGAAAGGTACAGGTGAAAAAAATTAAAAAAAAAAACCTGATATTAAAATAGGTAAAGAAAGAAAGAAAATTTATATTGGAAGAAAAGAAGAGAAACATGTAACATCGATAGATAGATAGATAGATAGATAGATAGATAGATAGATAGATAGAAAGAAAGAAAGAAAGAAAGAAAGAAAGAAAGAAAGAAAGAAAGGGATAGGAAAGGTGAAAAAATAAAAAATGACATTAAAATAGTTAAAGAAAAGAAAGAAAAGAAGAAAGAAAGCAAGAAAATTTAAATTAAAAGAAAAGAAAAACATAACATTATAATAAATAAAGAAAGAAAGAAAAAAAAAGAAAGAAAGAAAGAAAGAGATAGGAAAGGTGAAAAATAAAAATGACATTAAAATAGTCAAAGAAAGAAGAAAAGAAAGAAGAAAGAAAGCAAGAAATTTTAAATTAAAAGAAAAAAAACATAACATTATAATAAATAAATAAATAAATAAGAAAGAAAGAAAGAAAGAAAGAAAGATAGAAAGAAAGAAAGAGATAGGAAAGGTGAAAAAGTAAAAACTGACATAAAACTAGTTAAAGAAAGAATAAAAGAAGGAAAGCATAAATTTTAAATTAAAAGAAAAAAAACATAACATTATAATAAATAAATAAATAAATAAGAAAGAAAGAAAGATAGAAAGAAAGAAAGAAAGAAAGAAAAAAAGAAAGAAAGGGATAGGAAAGGTGAAAAAAATTAAAAACTGACATTAAAATAGTTAAAGAAAGAAAGAAGGAAAGAAAGAAATTTTATGTCGGAAGAAAAGAAGGAAAGAAAGGATTGTAACAAATGAAGGGATTAAGCGATGGAATAAAGGAGCGTGAATGAAAAAAATATGAAATTATGAAAGAAAGATGAAGAATTTAGTGAGAAGAAATACGGAGAGAAAGAATAAAACGAAAAAGAAAGCTATAGAAAAAAAGCTTCGTCAATGGTGATGATGATGGTGACTGAGGAAATAAAATCGACTCGCTATTTGACGAGCCATTGATAGTGTCCGATCACAAAAAGTTTAAGGGCGGGTAAAAGGGTATACAAAGGAATAAGAGAATCGAACGGACACGCCCATGCAAGCCCTCAATCAATAAAGCGAACTGCTTGTGATGTAAAATGGAAGAAAATAAAGCATAGAAAGGTGGGGGGGGTAACCCATTTGTAAACAGGCTGGTCTGTTTTAGTAAAGAACGAAAAAAAAAAAAAAAAAATAGAGAATAGTAAAAAGGAAAAAAAAACTTGTACAAGCGATTTAATGACGTATTTATTCAGAACGTAAGCGACCATGGCTCTTCGTGGATTCCTTTTCCGTTTATTTAGGGAAATATAGTGAAATCGCCATGGTTTTGATTTCAGAGTGAGGCTTGCAACGTTTCATCTGTGAGAAAGTAGTTGTAGGCTGGAAAATAGTTCATACACCAACATGTAGTCCTTTTAAGTCCTTCCAACAATCTCGTTCAGTAAATGTCTACCTTGAGTGGCTCTTGGAACGTGTACTGAGGAACAATAGGATTAAAAAAATTTCAAATTTGAATTCAGCTCGCTGATTTCATTTCCAGAGCCAATAACCGTTAAGCCACCTGCACGTCTTTTTGAAAGGATAATTACTTTTGGGTACCAAACACAAGGGCCGGCACAATTAAATTATTTACATAAATTTCGCCAGCTACGGGACACCGTACGCTTATTTAGTCCGACACAATGATTATTTCTCAAATAATTTTCTCTGCGGCACAATTATTTTGTTCCGCGTTTATTAAAATTGTATAAAAATTGCCGACGGAACGTTTATTTGAACGGAAACGCTTATTTTGTAAGTTGAGAAATTCCTACTTACGTGACCGTTCGAAACGGCACTTTGGACTGACGCTCTTGTGTACCAAATACAAGTACCGGCACGATTAAATTATTTTCTACAACCCCCTCCATCCTATTCCTGTAGTTTTTTTTATTTTTAATATAATTTTCTCCGCGGCACGATTATTTTGTTTCATGTTTATGTTTAAACATATATAAAAATTCCCGGAGGAACGTTTATTTGAACCGGTACGCTTATATTATAGTAATTTACTCAGAGTAGCGTAGATGTGGCAGTAGGCCGAATGTATGAGGCACCTAGTGCGAATCAAACTCAATACTCAGTAGTAAGTGATATGGCGAGACAAGCTTGCTAACCATTACACGACGTCGAAGTGATCGGACATTCATATATTATAGTGATTTACTAAACGTAGCTTAAATTTGGCACAAGGCCGAAAGTATGAGCCACTTAGTGTGGATCAAACCCACTACACGGTAGTAATTGATATGGCGAGACAAGCTTGCTAACCATTATATCAAGTCGAAGTGATCAGGCACGTTTATATTATAAGTTGAAATATTCGCGCCGTCATGAATATTCCAGACAGCACTTGTATTTGACAAAAACGTGCACATTACGAGAAAGTCGCCCTCATCAGTGGAGAAATAAGCATTGCTTGCCAGTTTTGTTGTTCATTCGACATTTTATTCGAATGAGTGACTCATTGAAAATATAATAACTGTTGTTACAAAGGCTAAGTTTTGTTGTAACATCAGTAAGGTTTTTTTCAACTACTTTTAACTTGTGAAAATTTTACGGTTTTCTTATTTTAAATTTCTGATTAATCGTGATTATTCGGTTAATGGCGACTTCTACGACAGTAAAATATACGAAAATTAATTTCTCGAAATTACATAAAATTAAATAAGTGTTGGGGTGGGTAAGAGATGTAAGAAAAAATGTTTTTGCCAAGATTTTCTAAAAAATGAAACATTTCTAAAATAAGTTAATTCATTTGTGAATAAGTCCTGAAAGTTTCATTAAAATCTGACAATTAATTGATTTTTGTAAAAATTCCCAAAATTAATATGTTTTTCACCGCAAAAAAGACGTTAAAATGTGCTATGCTAATTTATAATCACCCGCTGAGGTAAGAAAAGCAAGATTTTTAACCAAAATTTCAAATGTTCTAAAAAGAATCAAAAAGTTTTTGGTCTTTCCTCTTAATAATAACATAAAAATTTTGACGATAAAATTTTGTTTTTTATTAAGTTTGGAGCATTTTTTCATTATGCTCATTTTTTTAGCGAATCTGTGGAGCCACCTAAGTCAATATTTGAGCTTAAAAACTTAAAGAATATTGCAATCATAAATATGAATGCTGGCCATTATTTTCAGAGGGTACAAATGAAAAGATTTGAAATTGACAACTTTTCCATTTCACTGAAACAGGCGTTAAATACTTCTCTCTTCCCTTCTTTCTTTCATTTTCTCACTGAAACCAAGTAGCGTCTTTGATATGTATTTTGGCTAATCACGTGATCAAAACGGAATAGCCCATTATATATTAGGTATTAGCAGGAAAACGTAAACACTTTTATATTTCTTTCTTTATTTCTTTTATTCACTGAAACCAAGTAGCGTTCCCGATATGTTTTTGGTCATTCCACGAGATCACAATGGAATAATCTATTACTTAAGAAATATTGGCAGAGTGTAACGTTTGTACAAACTAAGTAACTAACAAGCGGGATAAGCACAATTATTATATTACTATATTTGTAGGATTTAACTTGTGATAAAATAAATATGAAAAATAAAAAGGTTAAAGAAAACTTTAGAATTATATAATTCAACTATTTATTAAAAACAAGAAGCAATGAGTACTATTTACATTATTCGGACTAGTGTCCTCATCTTTTCGCTATATTTATCACAACAGCCGAAACGTTGTAATAAATATGGCGACAAAGATGAGGAAAATAGTCCGAATAATGTAAATAGTGTACATAATACCTCATCTCAGAAATATAGACAGATACTGAAGGGCCGAAACGTTGTGATAAATATGGCAACAAAGATGAAGACAATAGTCCGAATAATGTAAATAGTGTATATAATACCTCATCTCAGAAATATAGACAGATACTAAAGGGCCGAAACGTTGTGATAAATATGGCGACAAAGATGAGGACAATAGTCCGAATAATATAAAAAGTGTACATAATACCTCATCCCAGAAATATAGACAGATACCAATGAGTACTATTATTGGATTTTTGTTGGTTTCATATTTGAAAAATCTTTTCTTTGTAGAAGCCATCTTGCACATTTATAAATCTACCATTCGCCCGTTCGTTGAATATTGCTACCATATCTGGTCTGGTGGAGCTACTGCTGTATATCTCAAGATTATCGACAAAATTTAAAGAAGGCTCTGTAACGATATCAGTCCAAACCTAGCAAATTCACTTAAGTCACTTTCC